ATCTATCTATCTATCATCTATCTATCTACCTTTTCTTTACGGTTCTTTTCTTCTCTTTTTACCTGTGTGTGTGTCCAGTTCGCTGTAATTTGGCTTTTTGGAGGCATTGAAATGCTTCTTGACCAGGAAGGAGCGTGGCATCTTGCAGGCAGATCCGGGCTTCCCAGTGGCCCCTGGCACGGATAACGGTCCGGCTGTGAGGACAGGCCGCCCGGTCCCTACAGCATTGCGGCCGCTCCGGGCAGGGCCGCGCTCAGGTGCGGCTGACGGGACCGGCGCCTCTGAAGTTGCCCGGCTCCTCACCAAACTGAACCGTTTGCGCTGGGAGGGGTTTTTGCCCCCTCCCTCTCTTTTGCAAGAAAGGAGCCAATCACAGCCGAGAGGCTCAGATTTCAGCTCCTCCCTCTGGGACAGCTGTGAACAGAGGAAGAATCTGTTGTCAGACTAAATTATTCTGGTTCAAACTGAACTGTTCTTTGGGATTTCGGTGGAAAAGGGAGGACAAGATGTGTTTAAGTGTTTCAAGAGAGGTCGTTTTACCTAGGTGACTGCCAGTCAGTCGTGCCTGCTGAGCGTTGGAGAAGTGCTACCAACTGTGATTTCTAACCAAAACCCCTGGGGCTTCCAGATGTGGCACAGAGGAACGCCAAAGTTCAACATGTTCTTTTGGGGAAGGGGCCGAAATCTGACCATAACAGGTTGGCCTCGGTGTTAGTCTGAGCCTGTATTTGGAAGTGGCGTCTGGAGGTGGTGTTCCTTGTGGATCCACCAAATAATTAACCCCTGGCTTGGGAGAAAAAGACAAAGAAAAGAGGGGCCCAAAGTGAGGAAGCGCTGGGCGTGCAGCGTGCTCCCTCAGTGGGGGCTTCTCAGTTGGTGTGAGGATGGCTGCATGCCATGCGTGCTCAGCGTGCTGGGATGCATTCCACATCCCAGCTCCTGGAGAGAGACTGCCAGAGGCTGTGAGTCCCAGGGAAACGAAGCAGGAGTCATTTCACCATATTAGCTACAGCATTTGAGAGAAATGCTTGCTCCGGAGCCAAAGACCCATTATCTGAAAGGGAGGTGGGGGGTGAAGTAGTTACTATCATCAGCAACAATGGAACCATTCTCTCACTGAACCTTTGACAAGAAGAGCCTTTATCTTTTCATTCATCAGGAGGTTGTAATTGGGGAGGGGGGCATGCAGGGGTGTCTAGAGACATGGATTTCATTTCTATGATTTATTTGTTGCCACTTTCTTCAGCATGAAGCCATCCCGATTGTATTACGTATCTAGTGGTTGATTAAAATGCCTCGGTAGGGCTAGAAGGCTGCTTGTTTAAGGTTTAAGAAGAGAGTCCTCTGAGGACATAAGGAAATGAAAGAGCTGGCTGAAATCAGCTCAGTTTGGTGAAATCATCTCAGTTTGGTGTATGGTATTCAATCTAAACATACTCTACCTAAACCCACTGTCCTTCGTGGAAATCTGAGTCACAGGGCTTTAGAGGACAGAAGAGAACTGCCGCATAAGCAGTCCAAGGCTGTAAATCATTAAGAAACCGGGCTGCTTTTCTTTATCAGTGGGATTAGTGCTCAACTGCTGCGCCCACGGGCACCTCCAAAGCAAAACAAACCTCCGAGCGGTTCCATTTAAAAGTAAAATTTCAACTGTATTTCCAAGTCTCTTGACTTCAGGCCCTTCTCCCTACTATTTTTTTTTTTGCTTAAAGAGTAAAGAAGGGACAAATTCACACGAAGACCACCTTGTGCCTAACAGGTTCTGGAAGAGCAAATTGAAAAAGAAAATAACAGGTTGTGTTAAGACTTGTTAAAAGTAAAGTGCATTGTCAGGCAGCATAACTTCTTAATCTTAGCATGAGAAAACACCAGTGTACGTGTGCAGGATTGGGTATGGACCGTCGAACTTTCAGGAGCGAATTGCCAAGATTCTTTTTTCACCCTTCCAGCGATCACTACTTTCAATGTCCAACAGAAAAAGACATTTAGAGGAATCTTTATGTGGAAGACACAGTGTCAGTGAACGGTCAGAAACTGTGAGCCTGTGTTCTCTATCTTTACAGATGGGCAACTGGAATCTAAGCAGAGCAAATTTTGTGAGTTTGCTGCTTTCTGTGAAGGTTTGTTCAGATTTAAGCACCTGGTTTATTGAACTAGGAGTCTTCCATGCCCTTTCTACCCCGTATCCTACAAAAGGAACAGTTTGTTAGAGATATAATATAGCCGCGAAAAGATAAATGTCCCCGTGTTTTTATGCCTTCTTTCACTCTGTACAGGTTCTGTTCACACTTGTGAAGAGGGTTAGGCAGTGTTTTCAGTGTTTGTTTGCTGTGGCTATAACGCAGGGTAACCTGCTCAGATGTGTGCCGTTAAATTCATTGTAAAAGTGGAACAATTTTACACTTGAAAATTGTTGGAATGGAAGGGTCCATGCTCGAGACTGAAGTGCCCGGGCATGTGCCCACGGACACATTTCACATGCCAGTTGTGGGATGATGGACATTTACTGTGAACGATGAATGCTGCTGAGAACTGTCAATGAAGAGTGTTTTCCCATATGCCTGTATGCAACTAGTCACACATGCCAGCTGTGTGCAGTCTGTCTGCTCAGACAGTCGAGATGCCTGGGGGCTCGGACAAAGTGGAGAGGTGGGCACAGGACCTTGAAGGTCACACCCAAGGGCCAGTTCCAAGATTCTCTCAGATGGAGGCCCCTCTCCCTCCAGTGAAGCAGACTTTGGTCACTAACTAAAAGGTTCTTTCCACAATGGGACAATGATCTATCCTGGGGCAGCTGCCTCAGGTTTTAAATGCATACTTTGGAATCAAATATAGAACAATCTAATGACTGTTTTTGTTTTTGTTCTAAATAGGCGAAACCAAAACTAAATGGAGTGGACAATGCAAAGAACTGGTCCTAAACTGGTGAGAACTTACGGTTTCATGATTAGCCAAATTGAAAATGATACTAAGGAAGGAAAAACTGTTATCCTGAGACATTACTGCCCCTGCAGCCCAGTCAGGGTGAAGCTGCTTGGCAAATGGGCAAACACAGGAGAAGTCCAGCCCAGGCTTAGCTCTTGAGCTTCTAAAGTGAGGAGGGCAGAAAGGAGGGAGATGAGAGGAGCTCCCTGCCCTTGCCAGGAGGCCCAGCAGCTCAGAGCAGGAGCCAGGGGAGGGAGGAGCTTTGGGAAATGACTTTTCCTTTTGGCAGGCCCTCTTCTCCCTCTTCACCTCCTTGTCTGCTGAGAGAACATTTGGTGGCTCTGTGGGGTGTGAAGAGCCCAGGGCATCTAAGTCCTCAATTGCCTTGAATTTTAATAGGATGGGCTTGGGTCTGAGTTACTTCACTATCTTTTAGTTCTTCTGTTTTCTGAAGAAGTTGATTAGGGTAACTTGTTGAAAACTTTGTAAATAAAGCGGACCCCCAACCCCCTTCAAAGGAGTTGCAGCCTAGCAGGAGGGCCAGCCTTCTACATTAGTTTCTCCTCTCCTGTTACTGTTTCTCTTGGATGGCCTTTCACGAAGAGCAGCAAGTGGGTTTGAACCGTCAACTTCCTGGTAGCAGCCAATCATTTAATCATTATGCCATCCATTATGGCATCTAATTTCCTATATGTGTTATAGACATAAAGTCTATATTCCAAATACATGATTCAAGTCAGTCTCAGAGAAAGCACATTCGCTTTTAAACGTGTAAGAGAAATAAATGCTTTATTTTAGTACCAGAGTGGCATCATCTGTAAATTTTGTCAATATCTTTCCCTGATTCCTTTCACAATGATATAAAGGTAAACATTTCACCACATATGATGGAAAATTATCGGTGTGTGCATCTGCTGATGCTTGCATATTCTGAGGTTAATAACAAGGAGACCTTGTGTATTTCTCTGCAGGTGTTGGCAGAAAGCACACACACAATTAATATATCAGCATATGGCTCTCTCAACACATATATTTACTCAGTGATGCCAACAAGCAAATAACTCAGTAGATGAGACGACCTGCCTGTGAAGGCAAATGTGACCATATATCTGTGGACTTATGAAATAGGTCTGTATATATGTGTACATCCATATTTATATGTTGTTGTCAGGCGACATCAAGTTCTGACTCACAGCGACCCTGTGTACAACAGGAAAAAACACTGCCTGGTCCTGCACCATCGTCACAATTACCCTTATGCTTGAGCCCATTGTTGGAGAGACTATTAACCCATTTCTGGGTGCATTTCTTCCAAGATAGAGCTGTTGGTTGTTTCAGCAGGTGAAAGCACTTACAAGATTCTTCACCAACACCACCGTTTAAATACCTTGATTTTGCCTCAGTTTTCTTATGTGAAAGTCTAATCTTTCATGGGAGGCAATGGAAAAGATCGTGGTCAGGCACAACTTAGTCTTCAAAAGTAACATCCATGCTTTTCAATATTTTCAAGAGGTCTTATGCAATAGATTTACTAATTGCAACGTGTCTTTGGATCTCTGGACTGCTGCTTCCATGAGCATTGGCTGTGGATGCAAGCAAGATGACATTCTTGAAACTTCCATCTTTTCTCCATTTATCATGCCTGATTACCTATTGGTCCAGTTGTGAGATTTTGGTTTTCTCTATATTGTGCTCTAATCCATACTGGAGTGTACAATCCTTGATCTTCAGCAAATGCTTCAAGTCCTCCTCTCTTTCCGAAGGCAAAGTTATGTCATCTGCAGATTAAAGTTTGTAAATAAGCTTTCCTCCAATCCCGATGTCCAAGTCTTCTTCATATAATCCAACTTCTCTGATTACTTGCTCAGGATACAGCTAGAATGAGGATGGGGAGAAGACAAAACCCTGACACACGCCTTTCCTGATTTTAAACCATGTAGTATTCCCTTATTCTGTTTGCCCAATTGCCTCTTGATCCATGTACAGGTTCCTCGTGAGCGCAATGGAGTGTTCTGGAATTCCCATTCTTGTCAAGGCTATCCATAGTTTGTTATAATTCAAAGTCAAATATCTTTGCATAGTCAATAAAACACAAGTAACTATCTTTCTGGTATTCCCTATATCCAGCCAAGATCCATCTGACATCAGCAGTGATATCCCTTGTTCCACATCCTCTTTTTCATAGGACCTGAACCTCTCTCTGTCATCGTCTGATGCCACTGTTGTGAGAGGATCATCAGCAACATTTAACTCACCCGTGGTATCAATGATAGTGTTCAATTGCTTGAGCATTCTGTTTCATC